TCTGACCCTCCTCCCTCTCATGCTCTCTGTCTCTCATTCTCTCTCTTGCAAATAAATAAAATCTTAAAAAAAAAAGAATGGGTCTGGGAAATTCTGGCCCTTGCCAGGATGGAAGGTAAAACCATTTCATCTCCCAGGGTATGTTTCTAATGACACCCCTGGGACAAGCTTCCCACGACCATCTTTGTTTCAAACTCCTGAGATTGTTGTGGGAACTTCTGAAACTTCCCTAGGGTTCTTTATGTTTGGGAGAGAACATATGCAAACGAGTTAAATAAGCAAAAGAAAATGTCAAAAAAGTTTAAGTATGGATAAGTCAAAATATAAAGGTGGTTATTTCTTGCACACAAGAATCAGATTTCTGTATCAATGAACATTTTTAATTGTGATAAAAATAGCATCAGTATAAGGTTGTTGGGGAATATGGAAAGGAAGGGCTCAGATTAGGAGATATAGCACATTCATCAGGGGGTGGGGTCTCCATAGTCTCCTGCCCCTCCCCGCTTGGCCTTTTACCATGCTTTCCAGCACCTGGGAAGAACTTCTACAGACACTATCTCTGTTCCAGCTGTCACTAGCAGACCAGGTAGGGGACAGAGGAGCAGCCAGCGACCCTAACTCTCCTTCCCTTCGACCTTGAAAAAAGTGAAGATGACCGGGCTCATGTGGCCTGGTGTTGCTCCACCTTGTTGGGCAGCCACCGAAACCAGCTAGACTACAAAGGCCTCGCTAAAGACATCATCAACAGCTTTCTCTGTGTCCCTGGCATCAGTGATGTTGGCATTTGGGCCTGTGTCCTAGAAGGAGCTCGGGTTTGCCCATATCAATCAATGCTTCTCACCGGTTTCAGATAAAACTTTCACCTAATAGTGTGTTAGCACTGGAGCCTGGAGAAGCTCCTTGGGGCCCAGGAATCATTAGATGAAATATTCCTCCTTGTCCCTGCCCTTGGCTGAGTCACTTTCCATTTGGAGGATGGCGCTGGGCTCGCCTTCTGCAGGTTCGTAGGTGATGTAGCTGCCTTTGTTCTTGTACAGGTAAAAGAAGATCAAGACCACGACTGAGAGCAGGGTGAGGAAGACCACGGTGATAACAACTTGGAAAGGAGAGGGAAAATGCAGAGATGTTTCAGGATTGAGGATGTCTCAGTAATTCATGGGGTCTCCTGAATTCAACAATTCCCTCACTTTTTATAAAGATCCTTCTGTTCTAGTTAACCAGCGTCCACTTCCAAAATCTACATTCCCCCACAAGTCCCACTTCCACGGTGCATGATAATCTGAAGTATCCTGGGGCTTAAGCTAAGCAGACATGGCTTTTGATTTCTAACAAAACTACCCCCTCTCAACCAGTTCCTGATGATTCTGATAGAAACAGGAAGGAGGGAAACAGGAAACAGCTTATCCCAACAGGAAGGCATTTTTAAATCCACAGCCTCCTGCAGGGACTTCTCTGATCCCTCCCATCCTCGTCCTCCCCCATCTGACCAACCGCACATGTTCCCATCCCTACCCGCACACTGGAGTGTACTGCCCGTACACACTTATATCTATTTGTGGCCACTTCCCACATTTACTGGCAGTGTCTCGGGCGTGAAGCCTCTAAGTCTTTTATAGCCTTGTGTGTGTGCATAGAAGATAACCTACGTGCCAAAACGAGCCCATTAATGGATTTGGTCTCCAATTTGTGGTGCTTTCCTGCATCGGGAAAATCCTTGATCACTACACTGGGCTGCCAATCTATGGAGCAAGAGAGCCCTTGAATTCAAAATGGATTTGGCTCAGGGCCTTTGTTACCTGCAATGAGTGCTGTGCTGGCCTCGGCTTCTGGGGACAGGGCTTCAGTGGCCTGAAGAATTGGGGTGGTCACCAGTTCTTCTGGAAAATTTAGAAAAGTGAAAAAGGAAATGGGGTGAATTCTTTTGTCATATAGTGGTTAAGAGTATGGGCTTTGGAGGGGCGCCTGGGTGGCTCAGATGGTTAAGCGTCTGCCTTCGGCTCAGGTCATGATCCCAGGGTCCTGGGATCGAGCCCCGCATCGGGCTCC